CCTGCTGTTTCTTCGTATTACATTAAAGTAAGTAAATTCTAAAGAGAGAGAGAGAGAGAGAGAGATTTAAAAATAATTCATTGACATCAAACACAAGTCAATGGTAGCATTCTATATACAGTTACGAGCGTCATTCCTCATCTCCTAATCAATCAGTCATCAGTTAGTTTTCGTCTCTGTCACCGTTTTTTTTTTTTTTTTGGAATGGCGCCCTCCTATTGGTTGGCTACGGTTCCCAGTAAGAGACACCTACGCAAGCCAACAGTACATAGACAGATAAAGCACATAGGCTATAGTTATTAACTAACATATGCATTTATTTAAGGCGCCAATTTATAATTGTAACAAATAGTATTTGAATCAAAACATTCAATCGGGTAAAACACGGGCGTTGCCCGGGTCATTCGGCTAGTTTATATATAAAAAGAGGATATTTATAAAATGTTGATAAGATTAACATAAAAGAGTAAACTATATACAGTTATAGAACGAAGTTTGACAAATTATACCGCAAATGTTTCTTTTGAACGAAAAATCGAAATTTATTTTAAGGAGAAATAACGATTATATCTAACCTTAGAGATGAAGTGTGAAAGGATGAATTGTGAAGAGTAATGATAAACGGAAAAATAAAAGTGCCGAGGGATGGGAATCGAACCTACAGTGTTCCGCTTACCGGGCAGATGCCATGTCCACTAGGCTACCCTGAACATATTTTTCGTTCGTAAATATAATATAAAGTGATTTATAATACAATATCAGAAATAATCGTTATTTCTTCTTGAAATAAATTTCGATTTTTCGTTCAAAAGAAACATTTGTGGTATAATTGTCAAACTTCGTTCTACAACCATAAGCCGTGTTATATACAGTTATGTAAAGTGCAGGAGACTCCCCCAACGACAAAGGCGATAGAGGCTTCCTGACCGTTCTTCAAATTAAAGATATTTCGGCCAGTATAAGTCTTCGACAAAAATATTTTGTCTTCGTCAGGAGCGAACAAAAATCAAAACATTTGGCAAAGCGTTAATTAATATATACAGTTATCAGCGTCATAATCAATTCTTTCTTAATCAATTCTGTCATTGTTTGCTTTTGTGAATGGAATAAATACCCAAATATGGCCATTTCTCATAACCATCGGTGGTTCAGTGGTAGAATGCTCGCCTGCCACGCGGGTTCGATTCCGGGCCGATGCAATTTTTTTTTTTTACAATTTTTAAAACTCATTTATATATTATACAAGAATGACATCCACGGCGCCAATTTATAATTGTAACGAATAGTATTTGAATAAAAGTATTTAATCGGGTAAAACCCGGACGTTGCCCGGGTCATTCGGCTAGTAATTATTCTAAGGCTGAGATAATATTGCATGAGAACGCCCTTGCAGCCATAGAATATTTTTTAACGCTTTGTCAAATGTTTTAATTTTGTTCGCTCCTGACGAGGACAAAAGATTTTTGTCGAAATGTCGAGACAATAAAAAAGATTTACTGGCCGAAGTATTATTTTTAATTTGAAGGCTTTAAAATAATTTATTCTTGTTGTTAATAATTTAAGTAGCTTTTTTTAAAATTCAATTTGTTTAATAACTTTTGAAAGAATTATTTTGAATCTCAAAATCCGTTTGTTAACATAGCTCCCCCTCCGTAACATATATACATATTTATAAAATAAAAGGGTTTAAAAGCGCGAATGTTTCTTTTATACATAAAACAAACTTCTACTGTCCTTACTGCGATGTTAATGTATGTGTTAATTTATGCCTAACTGGCCTTGTCTTTATAGTTTGCTGAAGAGCATTGCTCGAAGCAAATATTTGAATGTAATTCTACTGTCCTATAAGCTTATGTCCATAGTTTATTTGAAAACCATTTCTAAGATTCCATCCTTCAGTGTAGCATATAAAAGCAGAATGATCCAATACAGTATTAGAGCTCAGAGAAGCGGTCTGGTGGATTAAATTGGCGAAACCGCTGGGAGGGTTCACCACTGTTGAGCCAAGCCCTCCCAATATATTTTTTCATCGCAGTAAGGACAGTAGAAGTTTGTTTTATGTATAAAAGAAACATTCGCGCTTTTAAACCCTTTTATTTTATATGTATAGATGGCGCGTTATTGATTTGTATATATACATATTTACACCTATTCAAATCTACTCTCTCTTTATAAAACTACTTTCACATATCACTTAAACTACTACCAAGTAGGATATAATTGTTACCACAAAAACAGTAGAGCAGGTAACATATCATTAGCTTTCACAACTATAATTTGTTATTTTTTCCACATATAAATTGCACATCCTGGTCAGGATATGCCATTTTTATTTTTGATTTCAACACCTGAATTTTCTATCTTTTATTTTTTCTTTCGTTTTTTTATGTGTTGAGCGTATTTACGCCAGTTTGGCCTTAAATACCCATTTCTTGGTTTTTCAAGAAGCTACTGGGACCAAAAAATATTTTTGGTCGCATTGGTACAGCCTACTCCATGCTGACGAGCGCCAAAAAGCGCGAAACACGTTCGTGGATGGCTTTTCTTGATTTATCAAGAAATTGGGTTGGCCAAATATCAGGGAACAGGCTAAATCAATGTTTAGTTGATTTCTGTTCCACCAGATGGTGCTCTGCCTTCTGTAAAGCACATGTGCTCCTGGTCAGGATATGTCATTTTTATTTTTGGTTTCAACACCTGATCTTTTTATCTTTTATTTTTTTCTTTCGTTTTTTCATATATACATATATATATTAAAAATAAAAAAGGCATATCCTGACCAGGAGCACATGTGCTTTTCAGAAGGCAGAGCGCCACATGAAGTCCTGAGGCGCCTGGGCCCCAATATATATATATATGTTATATTAAATATTATTTTGAGATAGAGATTAATTTCTAGTTCTTTTGAGAACATGAGTACTCAATGGTATCGTTTGCAGTCGTGTCATCTTGAAAAGCAGAAGGATAATTATTTACTATCACACAAGTAGTTTTTATTTTAAATTACTTTAAGTAAATTACAATAATGCATTTTTCACAGTTATATAGAATTTATGAAATGAATTCTATATTAGTGAATTTCAAAAATAGGTTAGATAACTACATATTTACAACAAGTATTAAAAATCGGTGTATTCTAAAAACTATGGTCAAAAAACAAGTGGAATTATCAATGAATTAAAATTAAATATATATTTTATATTATATAATATTTTTATATTTAGATTATATAATATATTAGTCAATTATCTTACACATAATATAAAGTGTGTTAAATTTAATATATTAAGGAGTTAAAAACAATTTTCAAACCACCTAAAGTCATTTTAAAAATGTTTTCATAAATTATCAAAGAAAATGGTGCAGAATATTTTATAGAACACGTTCCAAAAAAAAAAAAATCAATAAGTTCGTCTGCTTATCAATTATGCAAAACTAATCCAGCATGTTAAATACATAGACGTCTGCTATTAATATGTCTTCCTTGTGATTTACAAGAACGATCTTATCTTGTTATATATGGTACAGGCAATTCTTTTTTTTTTTTTAAGGCAGACGAACTCTAAATTGGCCAATTGAATCGCGCCCAGAGAAGATGAACAGCAGCCGATCTATACGGGCTGATCTCATCCACACACATATAATTATAAGAAACATATCATCTAGAAAGGGCTAGCAGCATCGCATATTAATTGACTAACTTAGAATTAAGCTTAATCCAAAATGGCGTTGAATAGCTTGCACGATCCACGGTAATGGCTAATAAAAGATAAATGGCTGCCCTAATTGCTACAGCTACCTTTGGTCAAAAAATTTATTTTAAAATATCTCTTTCAATGATTAATTATGTTTTTTTTATGTAAAATGCGTCGTTTGGTACCATTCAAAGTTCCTAAGATGGCGGAGTAATGGGCAAGCTATGTGTAGATGTTGAAAAGGACCTTTCAACGACCTTCAAGGTCAGCTTCCAAGCCATGATTATTATTAATGATGCGGAAATTAGAATCTGTTTAATTATATTCTTCAAACATCGCTTTAATGTAAAGCTTTATTCTTAATTGATGTTTCAATCTTCGAATTTTCCACACTATTCATAAAACCACTGTTTTTTTATATACCTGATTATTATATATGTTTATATATATTTGATATTAATTGTTAAAAAATATATAAAATTCATGTGTGAAACGAAGTAGTTCCTGTAAATAGACATTGGCATTGTTTCTGTTTGCAGATTTTCATTTTATCTTTCTATTTATTTAATCCAGTTCAATGACACGTACACTTGTATTTTCAGACTTTTCTAGATCAATCTTTTCTAATTCTAATTATTTATTCTTTTAATAGGAAATAATAGACTTTATTGAAAATTCGTAAAATAACATATATATACGTATTATGTAAAATTAATGGATATATATTGTTTTGAATATTCTAATTTAGAAAGATGAAAGAGTACAACGTTAATGCGACAAATTATTTTTCGATAGCAACATAAATGTCCCTTATTTAAAAAAAGAAAGAAAGAAAAAGGGATGAAAGAATGAATGAATTTGTAAATATTTTTTTTGTTGACTATTGGGTAATAATATTCGATGTAGAATAGAATTGTGTAAACTGATCCCTTTTGAAATAAATTCTTGATAATTTATGTAGAGATGATGGGAGCTCATGTTGAAGCAATTCTTGAAGTCTTAAGGTCAACGATCTTGTTGAAGGTATTCTTAAGAATGTCAAGCCATCAAGGACATTGTTCTAACGTCACCTGGCTGTCCTGCAGGTGAGACATCGGTACGGCTGCTACGACCAGATCCAAGAGATAGACTCAAGGAAAGTCCGCCATTGCAACTGGGTTCGATTCCTTCGCTACAGCAATGTCTTCAGTGGAGAGGTTAACATCCTAGGGACCCTAGTGAAAGGGGAGCCTCTCTATGAAGTCCTGAGGCCCCTGGGCCCCAACACAGAGCTGGTGGTATACTACGAGGATCCTCCAGACACCTACTTCACCAGGAATCCCCTGACTGAGATCTTCAGCAGGAGCCTGATCGCAGCACAGTACCGCCATGCCATGGGCCGCATTCTGGAAGGTCAGTTCCCTCCCATTCAACAACATTGGCTTCTAACTTATCGAATATGCACATTGTTTTAATTTAATTAAATCTTTTTACCGACGAAGAGAGCTAATCTCAAGCAACATTCTTTGTTAAATTATCTTCATTTATTAGGAATCATCAAAATTTGATGCATTAACGCGCCATCTGCCATAAGAAATTGAAACTAGTTTAGACGCCTATGATTCTTTTTTAAATTAAACAAATTTCTACTGACCTTTCAAATTTCTACTTCATATATATTATGTATAGATATATGTGTTGTAATATATTCTAATATATACTTATATATCATATGTAATATAGTATAATAACCAAAACTTGTAAAAACAATTTAAATCGCCAGTTCGGCCATCATGTAATGCACGACAAAATAAAATTCGATTGAGCGACAGCCGGCGCCAGGACAGGAAAAAGGTCCGATAAACATGTTGGCGTTACCAGGTGTGCCCCCTTCTTGCTCAAACAGATCAGTCTACTTTGAGACACGATGATTGACAGACTCCCCTACACAGATCTGCTTTGATCGGCGTTGGCTTCACACTCTATCGCCATCTCTGTGGTGACATGTCTTGTTCTTTGGTACAATACATTCACGAC